CAAGCCGGAGAAAAATAAATTACTCCAGCAGTGTGGGGAGGGGGGGGGAGGCCAGGGCTGGGATGGAAAAGCGGAAATACGGCACAAACAAGCCGGAGAAAAATAAATTACTCCAGCAGTGTGTGCAGGGAGCGGAACAGCCGCCTCGTATGAACGCAACAGACGTTCGCTCACACGTTTGGAAACGAGTCTGCAATCTGTTTTCTAGCAAAGAGCGGCAGAGTTCGGGCGGGTGAGGCCAGGTAAGCCTTCACTCAAATACTTTAGGACGAACGGTTTGAACTAAAGAAAAGAGCGAGGAAAAGGTAAAAGACGGTCTTGGGGACTGTTTAAAAAAGACTGGAGTGGTGGGGGTTGGTGTTGAGATGGTGTGCGAGAAGGGGGGGGGGGCAGCATCCCAGAGCGGCATAACTAAGCCAGGCAGGTCGCAGGTGGGCAGGTGGGCCGCCCCGGCCCCCGGCCCAACATCACTCACTGCTAGACACATACAAACACGTCCTGCCGAGATCCACTTAGCTTGTGCGAGGGGCCGAGGCGTATAATTCCTGCGAAACTTTGGCCAACTTTGGCTCTCGGTCGGGGATCTTGGGTAAAAGCCGGATCTCACCCTTCCCTTTCACTGAACGAGGGACCGATGCCATGATCGATTCTTTCTGCAGCTTTGCTCTTATAACGCCCGGCGAGGGTTGCTCTGCTGGACAGAGTTTCTTTTGCCCGCGACCCCATCTAAAACAGCATGGGGTGGGCAAAATTTTTAGTCCATTACCGCGTAAATGAAAACACTAGCCCCCTCCCCCCTCCCACCCCCTCCGTCTTTGCCACCCCGAGGACCGTTGGTTAAAGAGAAGGTGGTGCCGTCTGACATTTGAAGTAGTTAGCACCGAGGGATCAGAGGAAGCCAGGAGAGTACTTGTCGGGGGCGGCAGTGTGAGTAGGCGGGCCGGGCGACGGAGCGCGAAACGTCGCCCAGTAACACAGGACGCTCCCCAAGCTCCCATGAAGTGCTCCCAAGGCTCCGTAGGCCGACTTGCCCGAGGAGCTCATGACCCCGCCTCCGCACGACCCCACAGGTCAAAGGTCAAGCCGTGCGCTATGCTCACTTGGCCATGATGGGCTTGACGTCCATGGGCCGGGGGATCTGCTTGAGCAGGGCGGCGGCCGCCTCCATGGTGGCCTCCTCGCGTCGCGCGCCGCCCCCGCCGCCGCCCCCGGCCCCCGCCGACCGCGGCTGCAGCGACTGCAGCGCCCCCAGCCCCGCGTACGCCGTGTTCTGGGCGCACGAGATGTCCGCGTTGGGGTGCAGGCCGAACAGCTGCGGCGCGTCGTTGATGGGGAGCGCGCGCACGTAGGTCTGGTAGTCCGGGAGCATCGCGCCGTCCTCCAGCTGAGGACGAACAAAATGGGGGGGTTTTAATTCAGCGCGTGGCTCTCGGCTCGCTCGACGAGGAGTCACCGCCTATATTATGCTTCATAATAAAATCGAGAACACATTTTTTTTCCTGACCGACGGAAACTCATATGTTCTGTGTAAATTCCATTCGTTCTACACACACCACGATGACAACAATTTTTTTGCTGCGAGGACCAATAACACAGCCACCCAGCCCCC